AGGAGGAGGAGGAGGAGCAGGAGGAGGAGGAGGAGAAGGAGGAGGAGGAGGAAGACCAGTGTAAGCTCAAGTCTCATCAACGTCGTTTAAATACACCCTCCCTCCAAGACCCTACGTCATAGGCCCCTACAGGGGGTCTTTTCCACTAAGGTAATTGCCCCGTTGGGGGACAACCGTGTGAACATCCTGATGCGTGCCAGAACACCACTCTCAGGACTTCAACGCCACGAGTTAACCTGACTGGCAGGTCTTGGCGATCCTGAATCGTACCAGATCGCCGTTCCTGGGACTCCAACACCGCGAATCAACGTAACTGCTGTGCCCTGGCAATCCTGAGTCGTTCCAACACACCCGTTCTAGTAAGTAAACCATGAGAATCAGTGAAGCTCTTGCACATATCCAAAACGAATGTGCGCGGCGCTAATGCGATAGCCACGTTTTGTAGGACCCGCCCTCAATCCGTGAAACATGTGCATTTTGCCCAGCCCTCAAGGGCTGAGAGCACTGTGGTCGAGTCTCCTTCCTCTCCTCTTTCCTCCTCCGCCCTCCTGCCTCCTGCGTGGCTGCGAAGTGCGCAACTGTCGCCGCTGTCGTGGGCTCCTGGGAGGTCCAGCGGAGTGGAGTGGTATGCATGCCCAGTTGGGGCCTCGCGGCGCCCAGCGTGACTGCAAAGTGCGCAATGGTCGCCACTTTCGTGGGCTCCTGGGAGGTCCAGCGGGGCGGAGTGCTACGCGGGCCCAGTTGGGACCTCGTGGCGCCCTGCGTGGCTGCGAAGTGAGCAGTTGTCGCCGTTTTCGTAGGCTCCTGGGATGTCCAGCGGAGTGGAGTGGTACGCGGACCCAGTCGGGACTTCGCGGCGCCCTACGTGGTTGCGAAGTGCGCAATTGTCGCCACTTGTGTTGGCTCCTGGGGGGTCAGCGGAGTGGAGTGGTACGCGGTCTCAGTTGAGACCTCGTGGCGCCCTGCGTGGGTGCGAAGTGCGCAATTGACGCCACTGTCGTTGGCCCCTGGCAGGTCCAGCGGAGTGGAGTGGTACGCGGACCCAGTTGGGACCTCGCGGCGCCCTGCGTGGTTGCGAAGTGCGCATTTGTCGCCATTTTCGTGGGCTCCTGGCAGCTCCAGCGGAGTGGAGTGGTACGCGGGCCCAGTTGGGACCTCGCGGCGCCCCGCGTGTGCGCGAAGTCCGCATTTGTCGCCCCTTTTGTGGGCTCCTGTGATGGCCAGCGGGTGGAGTGGTACGTTGGGACCTCGCGGCGCCCTGCGTGGCTGCGAAATGCACAATCGTCGCCACTTTCGTTGGCTCCTGGCAGGTCCAGCGGAGTGGAGTGGTACGCGGACCCAGTTGGGACTTGGGACCTCGCGGCGCCCTGTGTGGCTGCGAAGTGCGCATCTGTCGCCACTTTCTTGTGATCCTATGAAGCCAGCGGTGGGGAGTGGTACGCTGACCCAGTTTGGGACCTTGCGGTGCCCTGCGTTGCTGCGAAGTGCGCAATTGTCGCCGCTGTCGTGGGCCCCTGTGAGGTCCAGTGGAGTGGAGTGGTACGCGGACCCAGTCGGGATCTCGAGACTCTATGGGGGGCTGCGAAGTGTGCAACTGTCGCCACTTTGGTAGGCTCCTGGGAGGTCCAACGGTGTGGCGTGGTACGCTGACCCAGTTTGGGACATCACGGCACCCTGCGTGGCCGCGAAGTGCGCAATTGTCGCCGCTGTCGTGTGCTCCTGGGGGGTCGCGCGGAGTGGAGTCGTACTGGGATCCAGTTGGGACCTCGCGGCGCTGTCCCGTCACGCAGCGCTCGGCGCTTTCGCATCGCAGCTCGCAGGCACGCAGCGCATGGCGCAGTTTTTTGCCCGCGTGGCCTCCCATTCTCAGGTGCCCCTGGTCCGCCATGCCACCCCGCGCGCTTGCGTCGCTCAGCGCGACGCGGGCGGTATTCTGCTATATAGCGAGCGCATGGCACGGTTCTTTCCCGCGTATGTAGCGCTCGGCGCTCTTATTGTTTTTGAATTTGTAGGTCCATCTTCACACCCCTCTGTGTGCTTTTGTATCTTACCCATATAGCTTTGTCATGCTTTCGTTATTGCATGCTTTTGTGAGCTCATGCACAGCGAGGGTCCTTCACCATGCCTGCTCGCATGTGTCGGTCCTATATATGTATGTATGTATGTATGCATGCATGCATGCATGCATGTATGTATACACGCATGCATAAATGCATGTATGTATGTATGTATGTAGGTATGTATGTATGTATGTATGTTTGTATGCATGCATGCATGCATGCATGCATGCATATATATATATGTATGTATCCGTATATGTATGCATGTATGTATGTATACATGCATGTATGCACATATATTTGTATATATATATGTATATACATACATGTATGTATGTACGAATATTTGTAGGCATATGTATGTATGCATGTATGTATGCATGCATGCATGTATGTATGTATGTATGTATGTATGTATATATGTATGGCTGCATGCGCGT